CGAGTTGTTGTGTGGATTCAGTTGTGATTGAGTTTTCAGCACTTTAGGGTGTCATCAAGTCATTGAGTCACTGAAAATGTGGGATTCTCTGTTTGATGATAGACTACCGGTAAATTTCAATATCAGTTTTCTGTGTTATGCATCTTTCTTTAGGTTTATAGTCTGAGTCGCACTCCAGCCAATATTTTTATTTTATCAAGTAGATGGCTGTTCTGATTTCTACATCACTGTTGTATCGTCATTAGGTCTCTCAACTTATGATGTTTATTTTACTCGTGTTGCCACTGCATTCAAGCGAACTTTAAACAACTAACATTACGTGCTTCGTAGGTTAGTTATCTCTGGCACACACTGGAATGCATAACGGAATTTGTTCTAGTTTATAACAAATATAGTGTGGTAGGTAGCGTGCCTGCTTGCAGTGACGAGGCAAGACGTTTGCCGTGATTGGGAGTTTGAATCTTTTGTTTCATGTTGTGATTATTGTTTGTTTATTTGCATGTATGATTGTTTACTGTAAAATTCTTTATTTTAGCTGGAATAAATTTTCGCTGAATCAACTTTTTGGGTGTTTTGTATGGAATTTATTTACACTGATTTTTGATGTGTTGAATGTAAAAACGGATATTCGCTGGAATTAATTTTCGCTGAAAAGACTTTTATGCTGTTTTGTATGAAATTTATTTTCACTGATTCTTGACGAGTTGAATCTAATATATAGGAAAAAAGGTATATTCGCTGGATTTTATTTTCACTGAATCACTCCTTCAGCGAAAATAGCGAAAATTAATTCCAAGCGAAAATAAAGTATTCCACAGTAGTTGATAAATACATCTAACTGGCAAGACTATAACTCTCAGTTTCTTTCGCCAAGTTTGTTGACAATTCTACTTTAAAAGTGATTAAACCATGTATACCTACATCTTATCAGGTTGACAGCTTCATGTAATGAAAACAAAACAGTTAGTGGAAGTATCAAAAAATGCATAAGATTAACTTGATGAAGGATTTATGTTAACTCACCAAAGAAAAATGTGAATCAAAGTTTGAAAAAAGGTTGATTTACCAAGATATATTTTTTATGTTATACATTCTGACAGAAACTTAAGTAAAAGTGTCACACACACACACATCCATTAAGTAATGTGTGCAGTGATGACCTGCAGAAATGTGAATATTCTGTATCTGGACCTCACAGCAAAAGAGATCTTCTAAATGTTAATTAGTCAAGTTGTTGCAGAAGAAAATTATAAAATAGAAAAGTACACTGAAGTAATAGTCAAAAAATTACATGATGTTGAAAAAATTAAATGTGATAACATATAGTGAATTCAGTGATTCAGCAGACATAGGGTGAACGTACTATGATTATGTGTATTTGTGTAATTCTTATTTTTATTAATTAGTCATAAATAATCCAGTATTATTATAACATGATGGATTACTGTGTTCTTCTATAAATTTAGCATTTTTGTTTCATGTTACGTTGCTTTAGAATATATTCTTCATATCCCCCCAAGATATCAAATGGTCTACCCCTTAAGAAATATCTGCAATCATTACAGAATCACAATTTGCTTGTGTATTTGCGAGAACACCAGCTGTTAATTATCTCAGACTTGAGTTGAATTATCTTGGGGGTTAGTAGTCTGTGTTACCGTGGTAACCATACTATAGATATTTCGATCCAATTTATCCCTGATAGATCCACTCAATTAACGGCATGCACGAATCATTCATCTGGCTGCATGTACACTGATATTGTCAGTAAATGTTGCTAAAACATGTTTTGGCTTACTTACTACGATTGGAAATGGCAATCTCAAATATGTATCTGACAGTTACATGTAGTAATTTTTTTTAATTGGATGAAACTCATAGTACAGGTAAGTGATTGATAACCGACTCAAATATGGCTCTGTCTGTCAATATGGCTGCATCACATTTATGTGTCTGTCAATATGGCTGCATCACATTTATGTATTGGTCAATATGGCTGCATCACACTTATGTGTCTGTCAATATGGCTGCATCACATTTATGTGTCTGTCAATATGGCTGCATCACATTTATGTGTCTGTCAATATAGCTG